CATGCTCACTACACGAGGAGAGAGTGAGAACCTAAGGGACCCCATTTAATATGCAATGGGTCCTCTATTTATAGAGGAGAGGAGGGAAATTGCATGTATGCTCCTGCTTAAAGGGGAGCAACGAGAGGTAATTTAGTCCATAACAGTCTCTGCCGACGCTAGGTGGCCGGTTCAAGGTGTGATCGTCCGTCTTCCTTTATAGAGTTGGTTTTAAAGAATATGAATGAAAGTAAGGTATTTGGTGAGATAAGATACCAATTAGATTTGGAGAGTTAATATTGGAGTTGATTGATTAATAAATACTTTTAATGAAATTTTATAAAGCAGGCAAATGACCATAAAACATGTCCTCGAATCAATAATAAAAAATAAAACAAATGCTCATAATTTTCATAACTATAGAATAATTAAGCTTGTTTATGGATCAAAATATTGAGAAATAACAAATCATATATAGACAAATTTGAGTTTAGTTAACTTGAGAGACATGAAACAAATGCTGGAATGATATGTTGAAAAATGAATTATTAAAAGATAATGAAAGTGACATTCATTGAAGATAAAATAAATGAAAATAAATCAAAGTTATTTATGCCAGTAAGATCCCCCAAAAAGATGGACAAATAATATAATTTTTAAGCAGTAGAAAAAATAAAAGATAAGTTGGCCTAAAGTCGTGAAACAAGATTGGCAAAATGTAGCACCCAACACTAAACAATGAGGATTCACATGAATGACCCCATAAAGTACGATAAGGTTGATGATGATGATGATGCTGATCTATGTAGAAGTTGGTGTCTGTATAAGGATTCAAACTGAAAGCTAAATGACAATCTAGCTAGTTAAGAACATTTGAATCCAATACTATTTGAAGTACTTATATTAGGTGTGGCAGCTTTAATCAACATGCCTTGAGAAGCATACCTCTTTTCTTTATCTTATTTCTGAAGCTCCTCTTCCGACTAAATGCGTTTTCCTGGAAGAAATTGAAAGAAGAAAAGCTCTACTTATTATAAGATTGTTGTTAACATTATAGTGCATTAAAGTACACCATGCACAATCAATTGCATCAAACAAGCACTAAGCCTTACACATAAAGAGATTAAAACATACTTGCTAAACTAACAATTTTGATTGTTGTTAATTAGTATGGTTGGAGTAAATTGTCAGATGACTTGAAAAGTATATGTTAAAAAAGATTAGGCATTTACATACATATCACCCAATTTCTAACTATTTACATATCTAACACCTAAACTCTGCTTTTTTATATTTATATCGCCCAAATCTTTCATATCACATCAAAAATACTGCCATTTTACTTTAAAAAAGTGAAATACACTTTTTAATGAATGGATAAGGAATGTAAAAATTGAAGTTTAAGCGTTAGATATGTAAATACATAGGAATTGAGTGTTATGTATGTAAATCTTCCAGAAAAGATTACCACGGGCTGGCCGGTTATCACCGCCTGACGAACAGCAGCTACAAGATCTCTATTTGAATCTGTATATAAGCTCGTGACAATACCAGATTGACCAGCTCTTGCAGTTCGACCAATTCTATGTAAAAAGTCTACAGCAGAGCTTGCAAACTCAGCCTAAATTTCCAAGCAAAAAAAAAAAAAAATTATGAGCAAAATGAGATTACATCAAAACCAATTAGGCAAAACCTTACTCTTTGTCAAGAAAATTCACTAGCTATTATCGTCTTGTCATCTATTTCCCACAAAAATTACATTTTGCAGACTCAAAACAGTAATGTTGCAAAACCAACGCACAAATCACTTTCCTTGCACGAAAAAGCTAGTATTGTAGTTTAATTAATAGTAATTTTAGAATTTAATGAGATCTGAGTCGTGAATTATAAAACAGACAACAGCTCAATTTCCTTGATTTTGGAGACATGTTTCCATGTGAAATGGAAGTCATGAAACTCAATTAAACAGCAACATAATGAAAGAAATAACTCATGCTAGAGTCAACGGTTCATTATGGAGAAAAAAAGAACAAAAAGTTCTATTACCTACTACGCAATTTCTCATCTAGTCCAGTTCTATATGCATATTTCCTTTTTTTTTTCCTAGATATCCTCTCGTCCCTAAAATCTAATCTTTATTTCTTGCTTCCTCTTTTCATATGAGTTCATTCTAATAATGATCACTCTTTAATGCTGCTTAGAATAATTTATTATTTTTAAATATAATCATAGATTAGATTAATTTGTCGATGCTGCTATTGTTACAAATTCAGAATTTTATTGAGCAGAAAAATATAAGCTTTAGCTTTTTCATTTTTATTTTTCCTTTACGGGGCGTTGGCATATCACAAAATTCTTATATATTTATGTATCTAGCACTAAAACTTTTATATTTACATACACAGCACTTAATTCTTTTATATCACATCAAAATTACCAATATCATTAACTTCTTAAAAGTGAAATACACCTTTTTCATGTATAGGTTTTGATACCAAGGTGTTATAAAACCAAATATCAAACTTTAGGTGTTAGATATGTAAATATAAGAATTGTGTGATATGTATCTACTTTCCTTTGTCCCTCCCCGCAAGATAACACCAATAAGTCTAGATATGAAACAAAAATGTTACATTCTAGAAGAATTCTAGCATGTAATGTGAACCATTAAGTGTATAGGTTGAACATGTTAAATTGTTTAGCCTTTCATGGTAATTGTTGATAAAAAAAAGGTTCATTGGAAGGAACTCGATAAATTTAAATCAAACAAACCAAGAATCTATGAATTCCAAGGAAATCCTGCTTATTTCAAGGATCTACTCTTATATTGGTGTAACCACCCCCATGTACATATAGAAGAATTTGATCTTGCAAGCAAATACCCTCTTACCTTCAAGATATTTGCTTACCTTCACGATTCATTTCTTAAACACATCAGGCTTTTTGGTATCAATTTTGTTTATAGTTTTTTATTTTTTTATTTTTTTTTTTTAAACATTTTTGTTTAATGTATTTTTTATATATTTTTATCTTTTGTTCCTAAAAATAAATTAAATTATCTTTTAAAACACTCAAAATAACCTTTTATGTGTCTTCAATTATTTTAAAAACAAACATATCTTAATTAAAATGAAACATGTTTTGTTTCAAATCAAAACATATTTTATTTCAAATAAAAATAAAAATAAAAATAATGAAAAATAAAAAACAGAAGTAATCCCAAACGGCGTCTTCGTTATCCTTTCTCTAGGAAGCTAAAAATCCCTAGGTTCTTGTCTATACAAGAGATAAAAATCAGAGGAACTTACACCTTGCTCCATGTACTCTTAACATGTCATGTGAATGTAGTATCTTGCATGCATGATGTTTTTAAAGCCCCTAGAGCCTTTAATAACTTACTCTACCTTTGAAACTTTTCAAACATAATGAGATTCAAATCATTTCTCATGATATTTTAACACATAACTTCTCAAAATCAATAAAAAGTATATGTAAAATTTGCTCTACACTATGCTTTTTTTTATTAATTAAATCAATATCAAAATCACTCAATAATAGATCTTCTAGGCACAAAAGAAATTGATTATGCGATATCAACATGAATTTCATGAGTTTATATTCCATCACTCTTCC